AAATTTGAATATCAGACACTTAGGTGCAAGATTATGCCAAATTTCATGTTTTCCGTCCCGTTTTTGCTCATTTCTCGGAGGCAAAATGAGCAAGAACGCTCATTTGTCCATCATTCTAGACAGAAATAAAGGGCCTTTTTAGAAAGTGAACCATGGATGGGGAATTGTTGGCAGTTTTCTCAAAAAATGCTGGAATTCAAGAAGTTTTAGGTTTGCGTGGTTTTTTTTTTAGTTGCAAAATCCACTTGAACATGACGCTGCTTTTTTCGAAGTTTCTCAAGAACCATTCGAGCCAGAGAATTCGTTTTGGCATCGTTGGATAGAAAATTGAAAAGTCGATTCAGTCGTGACAACGTGAGTGAGGAAAGTCGAGTAGTTTTGACCCAGAAAAAAAATTTTATGTTTTTCGTCCCGTTTTTGCTCATTTCTCGGAGGCAACATGAGCAAGAACGCTCATTTGTACATCATTCTAGACAGAAATAAATGACCTTTTTAGAAAGTGAACCATCGATAAGGAAATGTTGCCAGTTTTCTCAAAAAATGCTTGAATTCGAGAAGTTTGAGATTTGCGTGATTTTTTTTGAGTTGCAAAATCCTACTTAAACATGACGCTGCTTTTTTCGCAGTTTCTCAAGAACCATTCGAGCCAGAGAATTCGTTTTGGCATCGTTGGATAGAGAATTGAACGGGGGGCCATGACCCCCCCCTGGATCCACCCTTGCATATATGCTCATATTATCAGCCGGTCGAAATAATGCCCGATTACTTCATGTATGTGCTATTAATGGTAATGAATCATGTTTTGTCAATGATAAATTCCTGAATACCGTGAGCGGACGCGTTGGGGAAATTAACACTATTTTTAGAAGCACTTTTCATTTCTTTGATGTTCGAGTAAAAAGTGATTTTTTTCCATAAAGCTTTTCACCAGATAGCACCTTACTGGTCACTGCAGGAGACAATGGGGCTGTATGCATTTGGGATTTGGTCCATCGATCTTTGATCAGGTAACGCTGAACTTTTCCCGGGATTCCCGATGAAAATGCCATGTCTTCCGCAGGACTCTTTTTGAGCACGAAGGAACCACACAAGCTCTGGTTTTCACCCCAGATTGCCAGTTTTTGGTCACCGCGTGCTCATTGGAAGTAGTCAAAGTGTGGCACGTTCAAGACCTAATTGACACCACCACAGAAACACCGTGCAGCCCTTTAACTCGCATCGATAATATTCACGATATGGGAGTGTTTTCGATTGATATTTCCAAACATATTGAAGTCGATGGTAAGCTTAAAATTCAATTGATTAAAACTGCCGGGTTTTGTTTAAGGTGCCAACAACACTGCTACCAGTTTCCTAATTTTCTTTGGGTTTTTCCTTGATTTCTTATAGTTTGAAGACACTGTTGACTCACCAGTTTCAAGTAACACGCGCGAAACTATTCCGGTTTTTTATTCTGAAAATACAATTTTCCCAAGACGTAACAATCAATGACTTCTTGTAGAAAACAACCCCCTGATTCGATATTACAGTATGGCAAGTGGCGGCTGTAACAACGAACTGAAACTTTGGACAATCAGATCGAGAGTGTCGGCAAAAAATAAAAATCTCACCCACATCGAGGTATCAATTTGCCTAAGCAATGTGCTGGAGGGCCATGCTTCTTCAGTGACTTGTGTAAGGTAAATGTGCATTTCTTTCAACCATCACAACGTTTTTCACGTAGAAATACCCTTCTAGGTTTAGTAATTCTGGGCGGTATTTGGTGTCGAGTAGCTTAGATAAATCGGTGAAGGTTTGGGACACTAACAAAGATTGCACATGTTTGGTAACCTTGTATGGCCATCAGAGATATGTTAACTGTGTGGCATTTTCGAAGGACTCTAACATTGTGGTTTCAGGTACATCGCTGTTCACATAGTTTCACTTTTATTCGATAAATCCTCTCCCAACTCATTAATTAGTGAATCGTTCAGTAAAACCAGCATACACATTTTAAGGTTCCACAGGTTCCAACGATAAGCTGGTCATTGTATGGGATCTAACGGGCAAAATATCACTGAATAATGAACTGTTTGCGTTGATCAATTCAAACTCAAACGGTGTGGTCGAAACGCAAATCATGGACACGACGAATCGAGACAGCAATGAGTGCAGTTTATTAGAAAAAATCGACGATATTTTCGAAGGCGGTGTGAATAGTTGCTGTTTTAATGGAAAGGAGTTATTGGCCACTGGATCGGGGTATGATTCTTCTAACCACGTGCAAAGAGCGACAGGCCAACTTTCCTTTCCATTAGGGACAAATTTATTAGACTGTTTAAAGTCGGGGAGGAAAACAACAACGTAGAAGAATTGGGTAATTCTCCATTGGAAGGTCACACTTATGCAATAAATCATGTAGAGTTTTCAAAGAATGGCGATAAATTAGCGTCGTCCTCCTTGGATGGATGCACTTTTATATGGAACACCCAGGTAATAAACTAAAAAAAAAAATGGTTTTTTTGTGTAAGAATACAAAAAATATTGAAACTTTCAACTGGGTCTAACTATGGGTCGCATAAATCAGGTAATATTTATGTATATGGGAAAAAACCAGATGTTACTTGTTGATTCTACTTCTCCACACGATCATACAAAGAGGGCTCATTAAATTAATTGGGTACATTCGACTGCGAGAGAAATAACATTTTTCACCTATTTTTAGTGGTAGAATCGATTATAACAGCTTTTAGTCCATATTTGCATGTACGTTTACCCATTACCGAAAAGATCTTTTTTGCGCTAAATTGAAAAGTTTGCAACTTTCTTGATTTGTAGATAAGTTCTATATTGTTGAGCCGGATTCATTTTTATACAAACTTCTTTTTGGGTATTTCGCCTCAAAAATTTTTGTCGTTAAAAAAGACGGAATTTCCTCACGTCTTTTATTACAGATTGATAAATAGTGCATATAATATGCACCATAAAAAATGGTCTTGAGGTTTCTGCTATATAAAATTTATTGCATTCGCAAGGAATTTTATAAATTACATTTTTTGTATTTTCAATTATATCATGAGGTTTTGTTACTGAAATTTTACTTCTAATTGTATTTTCAGTTTTGAAGATAGTCCTAATATTAATTTTTTTACCTACTCGTTTAATTTGATCTGAAAGTCCTGGAATAAATGGAATGAAAAGGTTCGTAATAGGTTTATTTTGATTTTGTTTTGATCGTGGGAATTCAATTTCGTTAAAACATTTTTCAATAAAAGAATTTGGATAATTATTGAAATTTAGAATTTCTTTTATAAATTGTTTTTCT